AGTCGGCCTCCAACCCCTAGGTCACCCCTCTCTCTGCTCGCGGAGACCCCTTTCTCTCCCCAGCCAAGGAAATTCTTTTCTCCCTTCTCTCCTCTCGAGGGTCAGCTCTACTCTCTTTAGTCGTTCGCGAGAAATCAATCTCCGCCTCTCGACATTCATATACTTCGCGCATCTCCCCAGCACTTCGTCGAACGTTCTACCCGGGCGCTTTGCCACAGAATTCCTGCACAAGCCCGGTAGCAACCCTCGTGTCAAACCTCCCGCCTTTATCTCCTCCGACGCCCTAGGCACCTCGACACATGCTCGCGTATATCTCGCCACATAATCTCGTAGCGACTCACCTTCCTTCTGCTGGATGCCCATTAAGGTCAGATACGATTTCTCCTGCGGCCTAACACTTGCAAATTGATTGAGAAAGCTCGCACTGAATCCTTCAAAATCCTTGATGGCTCCCGCTGGTAGTTGGTGAAACCAATCTTGTGCAGATCCCCGTAAAGTGGTTAGGAAAGCTCGACATTGCACGTGGTCATTAAAGCGATGCAAAACTGCAATATTCTCGAAACTCCTCATGTGACGCGATGGATCGGTCGACCCGTCATAACTTATGTTCAGATCACGAAAACCTTGCGGCAGGTCGGCATCCAGGATGTGCTGCGAGAACGGATGTCCCCTCGAGCCTCCAATTTTCCTCCCTTCGACTCGGGCCTGTAAATCACGAACCTGGGCCAACAACTGCTCCAGCGTTTCATCTCTCGCCTGCGGGTTGGCAGTCCTTATGGAAGACGCCTCCTCCTCCACCCTTCTGATTTGCCTATCATTGGACTGGGCTTGTTGCTCGTGATCATGAGGTGGTGGCTCAATCCTGCGTTGCTCGATCCTGGGCTGCTCGAGCCTGGGCTGCTCGAGCCTGGGCTGCTCGAGCCTGGGCTGCTCGAGCCTGGGGTTCTCGACTTGTACCTGCTCGAGTCGGGCTGCCACCGCCTCCGCTATCATTCTTTGCATTTCACCCCTCGTCGCAGTCATCATCTGCTCTTCGGCATGGGGTAGTGGCATCGTCACTTGTTCCAGCACTCTGGATTGCTTTCCCAGGCTCAAAGTCGTTTCTGCGGACTCGCGGCCGTCGACTCTCGTGCTCGTGTCCTTCACTTGACTAGGTTCTCCTTGTGTTATCCCCGGGATCTTTACCCCGGGAGGTGTGATGGGTGTTTCTTCCTCAATACGCACCCCCGACGGCGCGTGCCCCCCAAAGGGTGGAAAACCGAGAACCTGAAGCGGTGGTCTAGGGCCAGGAATTAACGGCGGCCGCTTGTCCGTCCACGCTGCCCTAAAGTCCTCGTTTAGATTCCTCGATAATCCTTCCTTCTCCGCCATGTCAAACAGATCGGAACTAGGTGTGAAGTTCTTACTTCCTTCAAGAACTCCCCACAGACGACGCCAATTTGATGGGTCTCCTCCTAGATCTGGAATGAACTGGTGGAAATGAGCTCCGGTCTGTTCGAATTGTCTCCAAGTCGCTCGTGGACCGCAATGAACACCTGCAAGAACTCCACACCGGAAGTGTTTTCCGGTGAAGAGCCTTCGACGCTCAAGTCAGTGAATGAAGAGAGAAAGAGCTCTGCTCAGGGGGAGCAGCAGCTGAATATTAAATGAGGAGAATAATGGTTGGGGTTTAGGGTTACCTCAAATCCTTTATATAGGAGTAGAAACACTTACTTTGAAGTCCCAAAAATGCCCTGGCCGACTTACACGAAGTACCCAAAATGCCCTGGTCGGTTCACATTCTGCTTACTCTTGAGTCGGCATCTAGATTCCTTCTTATCCTGTATAAACTTGTACTTAGGAGCCTTCCATGTGTCGCATCTTTCTCATCGAGTCGTCGGAGGTCCTTATGAGTCGACTTATAACCTTATCGAGTCGATCTGAAGTTATACGAGTATCCGAGGGTTATGAGAACGCCTGCTCGTCATCATGGATGAAGTCGTCTTGTGTCCGGTCGACTTCATCAAGTCGACTAGGTACCATGACCGGTTCGACAGTCTTTTGAATAGCTGATGGACCGAGTCGGCATCGTTTATCTCGACTTAGTAGGGTCGTCTGTAGCCTTCAGTCGAGCAATTTCTAGCTGAGCCGGACCATGACAATTGGGCTATATCTCAACCTATGGGTACAATACCCTGTGGTGGTTCAACCAAAGTCCATAATTTGTTTGAATACATGGAATCTATTTCGGATTGCATAGCTTCTTGCCATTTATCTGAGTCAATG